CTTCGGATCGGGATATAACTCAAGCGCAAGAGCCGTTGATACTAATGTACGCCGAAGAGACAGTACGCCATTTGATGCTGATTCCTTCATCCTCGTACTATCTGAACTTCCAATCTCTCGCTCTCCTATCGGCCGGGTCCGAATTGACCAAGTCGAATAACATCCTGCGCGATAAAGTGCGTGAAAGACTGCGAGCCATCTATTCCTTGAATCGCATTCCCACCAATTTAATGGCTCTTCAACTCGTCGAAGAACTTTGGAATGACCGAGATAATGGTAACCGTTCCTTCTGGCTAGCGCGCATGCTCCAGAAAGACTGGCTGTTGCTTCTAGGATAGGGTTTGATTTGCTCTACCCAGATATTGAACTATAAGAATGGTTAAGTGCTTCGCGAAAACATTCGATGCTGTTCAAAATCCCGAGACCTTCTAAATAATAATGGTTGGAGGATGGCGGCAGCAGCCAACCAACCACCGCGTCGATCAGCACTTGATATCAACCCGAATACTTGTCAGTCAGATACGGAGCAGCGGCTTTCGAACATAATACCCCATGAACCTTGCCAAGAGCAAGGCTCTATTAGCACTTTCTAGTGCAAACACCACCAAATCCGCCATGCATAAGGCGTCAGCACAAGCAAAAGAGACTCATCCGGTTCAGAAACACACTCGGTCGGCAGAAATGGGCACATAGCAACACAGCGTGGCTGAGGAGTCTAGTATAGTAAACCATGCTGGCAAGTCCCGATTTTCTGTGAGAAACTGCGGCGTTCTAATCTCGGAGTCATGAATCAGATTCAGCGCTGCAGTCAACGGTTGGTATGGTGGATTATCGGCTGCCGTGGCAAGGACAAAGGACTCTGTGGACTTGTTTCGGTGCTCAGTACGACAGATTTGTACCTCAGTCATAAGGAGATGGCCGCAAAATCCAAGTTGGCTTGTATCGGAATCACGTGCCTGATTATGTACTAGTAGTACGCTAGGTGTGAGGTCAGCATCACTTATCACTTATGTATTCCATACCCTTTTCAGGGAATATATATGCATGACTTATGAAAAGGAAAATAGTCCACTACTTTCTGATTGTCACTAAATTAGAGGCAAGAACAGTATTCACAAACAACGTGGCATGAATACATTATATCAAAACAATATAATAGTATGGAAGTTCCAGCTCGGATACCGACAACTTGGTCCTTGGTACGGCGACATTCAAGCCGTGGCGGCCTTTGGCGGTCACCCATAATTCAAGTCGGGATCTCGTTTAAACAGAAAATCAGTATCTTTCAAGAACTTCCGTCCTTCGAGAGCACGTGGAAGAAACCCCTGAGTGGATTCATGCCCTTCCTGGGTTTGTTTAGAGTGAGTGGACATGAGCCGAGCAGCCTCCTTCAAAAGCTCAGGCCTGCGATCCAAAGCGTGGAAAGGCACTGGAACATCACCCATCCCAGGCTCCTTCACTGCAGCAAGAGCATTATTCAAGCCACGATAAGATCGAGTACTCTTCTTTGACAAGCACATTGTTATCACTAGTTGAGCCAGCGCAGACTGTGCGTCCTTGATCCCTAGCTTCTCAATCATCAGGTAGACCGAGGTTGCGTATGTTTGCAAGACATTATTTGCCAGACCAATGTCCTCCGATGTCGCCACAATGAGCCGACGAGCGATGAATAAAGGGTTCTCGCCTGACTGGAGCATTCGCGCGAGGTAATATAGCGCAGCATCGGGGTCACTGCCTCGAATTGACTTGTGGAGTGCCGAAATAGTGTCATAGTGCTGGTCGCCCGATCGGTCGTAGAGTAGGCTCTTAGTCAATGATTGCTTCAACTTCTCCTTGGTCATTCCTGGGCGTGTGCATAGATCCGTAGCTATCTCCAGGACGTTCAACGCGGTTCTACTGTCGCCATCAGCAAATCCGGCTATGTATTGAAGGAATTCGTCATCCAGAAGTGGTGATGATTTCATGTGGGTTTGTGATTCCATCGAACGACGAAGGATGGTGACCAAATCATTGGTAGTTGGCTTCGTGACAGTGAAGACCCTGCATTTGTAGACAAGGTTATGGTGGATGTTCAACGATGGGTTCTCGGTGGTGGCGCCGATAAGAGAAATTTTATTCCTTTGAACGGCATCGAGAAATATATCTTGCTGTGGGCGTATGAGTCGATGTATCTCATCACAAAACACGATGGATGTTTTTCGGCTCTCGTGCACATCCTGTGTGGCCTTGGTGATGATGTCTCTGTACTCCGTTGTTGTTGTTGTCAAGCTACTGATCTCGTATACCTTTCTCCTCATCATAGGACCGATGATCCTGGCAATTGTGGTTTTACCGCTTCCTGGAGGCCCCCATAAGATCATATTCGGAAGCTCATCTTGTTCAATCAATCGTGTGAGTGTACCATTTGGGCCGATCAGGGAATGTTGACCGACAATATCATCGAAGCATCGTGGCCGGACTTGCTCGGCTAAAGGTGCATTTTGAAGACGTAGTTGCTCGGTTGCTGCTCCCGTGTATGACTTTTTTCGTGCAGTAGTAGACTGTGGTTGAGGGAATACTCTTTTTAAACCTCCGGTACCATCAGCAAAAGCTCCCGTTGCATCGTAGTCGTCTATGAGCTGAAGTTGTTTCGTTCTTTCTTGTGAGTTGCTGCCATTTTCGATAAGAGAAGACGATATCGTACTTTGTAGGTGGGTGGTTGTGAGGAATCTTTGACAGCTAGAATCTAGATGTTCGTTGATTTCGGATAGTAGAACGTGGTTCTGGCATATTGGGCATCTGATCATGTTGAGATAGGGTCAGCAAACTCCTTCGGGCATCAAAATGTAATGAAGAAAGAGGAATTATGACACTTGGATGGGTTATGTTGCTACATGCCATGAGTTTCGGAAAAATGGCTAGGCGGGTCCCTAGGCTAATTCATTCTTCTGCTTTTGTTTGTGCTTTTGAAAGATTATAGAAGATCTCTCCATCATTGATCACAGGGGGCCTGGATCCATGTAAAGAAAGTCAAAATCTCGCGTTCTGCTCTAAAATGGTAATTCGCTGGGCCCACTGTGGGTCGAGGTCATTGGTCCTATCCAATTATCATCCGCTGGGTGGAGTGAGTGGGTCGATATCTCATTATACAAAGTATGCGGACTCGAGTTTCACGCTGAAGGCTCTGCCTTCGTGTTCAAGGGAGGTGGACCTAGAATATTACGAGAGAAACTCGTCTGATAGTGAGGTAATATCAATCTGAATATTCAATCTAATTAAATACTCCATGCCCTCACTTTTCACCCATTCGCTCATTCTCATGTAAGTTTCAGGTCCATGATTCGATTTGTATGTACTCCTAGATCGATGCAGTTATATAGTAAATTGTGCCTAGGAGGCTGCATCACAGTGCCAGATACATGTCTTACTTCCTCAGATCTGGTTCATCCATGACCGAACCGTCGATGGCTCAATATCTGTAAAAATCATGTCTCGTAAGCCGTCCACGCGTGCATCCATGATCCCTTCGACCACCATAAGACCAGACTCAGCCGTTGCGATTCGTAAGTCCTTCAAATCTTGAGGAGCAGTATTTATTGGTGACGGCGCTGTCCAGCAAAGCCCCAGTGGATCTGATCAACGGAATAATTCCAGCCAGAAATACACACAGATCCGGGTCTCGCGACACCGGAAAACATAAAACTGGAGGGGGGGGGTGCGGAAGGCGGCCAGTTTCCGTCTAGTATGGAGTCGCCAGAAAAAATTACAAAAGACAATAGGTAGATATACAAGGAGTTTCTGCAATTTACCAGACTCAGTCTGCGACTCTATGGAATGGAAAAGACAGCTTCAAAGTCAGTGCCAGTAGATCAGACTATTTCCGCGGATAATGTCGTAGCCTTTGTTTAGGGCATCGATGATCTCCTGCGGAAGTGGTCCCCCAGCCAAGGCCTTGAGATTCTCCTCCAGCTGCTCCGCACTGCTCGACCCAATGACAACCCCATCGCCGTATTCCTCCTTGAGCTCCGAGTGGTGTGACAACCACCGAAGGGCACACTCTACTTCCGAAAGCCCGTGCTGCTTGGCCACAGGTCTGAGGATCTCCAGGGCATCGAAGTACACATCATGGTAGTAACGCCGGCGCGTGTGGATTTCTGATGCCGAGCTGGGGTCAAAACGGCCCCTAGAAACCGCATCCGGCGTGTCGCGGGAGTACCGAGCAGTCAACATGCCTGCGGCCAGGGGGTTGAAGCAGTAGAATGAGATACCGTGATACCGTAGGCATCGTAGGAGCTCTGGTTCGACCGCCCGATGGAACGCATTGTATATGCCCTGACAAACACTTGGTTTAATCCAGCCATTGTGGTCACAGATGTCACAGATCATAGCCACCTCCCATGCCTGGTAGTTACTGATGCCCAGCTTGTCGAAGTATCCTTCTTGGTGCAACTTATTCACTTCCCTTAGAGTCTCTTCAAACGGGACAGTTCGGTCAGGGCTGTGCAGATACCAGATGTGGACTTTAGAGACTTTGAGGGCTTCAAGGCTCTCCATCAGGCCTCTCCGTAGGTCTTCGGGGGTGTGATGGTAAGACGTTGTCGCTGAGGCCATGGACGGGTTGGCAGCCGATGGAAATAATTTGGTATCCAATGCGAGTGAAGATAGCCCCATCCGACCGAGAAATGCCTCCGATGACCCGTTCCCGTAGATCCGAGCTGTGTCTATATCTCTATGGCCATAAAGCTTGAAGTGGTCAACCATCCGACGAGCTTGATCAATATCGTGGACCCGGGTTCGGCCGTCACCTGTACATTGAATGGATCATGTTAGTGTATCGATGAGCTTTTGATCTGCGTTAGCGAGAGGCATGGGACCACTTTACCGGGTTCGCCGATATTCATAGCTCCAAAGATGACTTTCATTGCAGGCGGATGCAGATGGTCCTTCGAAATACTGACACAAGTAGCAATGTTTATCTCTATGTCTACAAAGATGAAACTTAGGTGTATTAACAAATGAACAGCTTCAGCGTGCCTATCTGACCATTTTATAGTTCGGAGAATATTGAACTCATCCCACACTGTCACTTGATTACGCGCTTGCAGTGGGTCTTACCCTCATGCGGAGCTATGATGCTCTCCTGATAAGACTCTAATCATGCACAGAGACAAGAAGTCATGACCTTACACGTGGTACCAGCATGTCCCGTGGCCTTTGGTTGGGACAGCCAAAATGATTTGCCACCTTGAATTCCAGAGTCCAGAAGCCCACACTTGCGCCGTAACCAAACATTTTCTGATTACACTCATATTAGTCACATTTCCAGTATCAATACCAGCAATACTAGGCCAAACTTGCCAGAAAATTCCACTTTCAGATTATAGGGTTCAAAATATTTACACCACTCCTGTGGTGGTGGGTACGTCAAAGATGGCCCTCCTGTTCAGGCGCTTCTCTCCCCGTAGCTGCCGCCAGTAGTTGGTGGACCAGAAGATCTCGGGACATCCCTCTAAGAGCCACCCCCACTTGCGCAGAAATGCTTCGGTGATTTCCCAGTTCATCGGATTCCATGGATCGCCCCAGACAAACACGCAAGTATCTTCCTGGGGCATCGTCCAGAAGCCCATAAGATCGCGACAGAATTGGGAATCATCCATGTCATTCTCATCCTGAATGAGATTATCCCTTAAGCGCGCGAAGGGAAAGAAGTCTAACCAAGGATGATGAGGCTGGCTGTATTGCAGTTGTGTCGGGCGCAGACTGGAGGGCAGATTCTGCTCCGGCAGGACCTGCGAGGGGGAGGGCCCACTAGTACTAAAGCGCGAGATAGCGTCGTCCGTCATCCATTCCCGACTGTATCCCAGCACCGCGATGTTACGTACAAAGGCACGAAATACATTCAACTTGGCCAATGTGAGAAGGTGATCGGCCTGGGGGCTGCCGGCATAGCTCTGATAGGCCGCTGCCTCGAAGACAGCTAGCAGGCGATAGATATGAGGTTGGGGTAGCACACAACGGGAACGATTTGACGCTATTAGTCCGCGAAGTCTAACGGCCTCCTCGGTCGAAAGCATGGACATTAATCCTGTAAGATCGGCTGGTGGATGAGGCTGCTGCGTCTGCATCGGGTTAATTGGCGCCAGAGCCAGACCCGCTACCACTTGATCTTCGTGCTCCTGCAAGGCGCGCTTCTCTGCTAGAAGAGCAGCCTCTTTCTTTATTCGCTGCCGTTCGCCTGAAGTAGAAGACGTCGCGTAAATATAGTCGGTTTATTGTAAAAATGTGGATACCCATGTGCATTGTGGTTTGAGACTTACGCCATGTTTGTTGATTCAGTCTGTTTTGGCGCCTACGTCGCTCCTTCCTGTCCTTCTCTTCGTATTGGATGGAACTGTTATCACCGATACATTCAATACGTCCTTCTGGGCTTTTCATGGTGCCGTTGGACATTGGGGGTACTAGATTGATGCCTCCAATGAGGGGAACTGGACCTAAAGACGGAAGTTGTTGAGTGGAAGGTGTTTTGGCTGGGGTCAGCAGTGGGTGGCGGCTTGACCTCGGAAGAAACTGGAGATAACTGGTGTAGAATTACTTCACTAGATAATTGCTTCTACCCTCGCCTGACACACAATTAAGTCCCTTAAATCCGGAGAAAATGACGAACCCATTGGCTTGTGGCAATTAAACAGGCAAGCGCTGTGGCGGGTTTAGCGGTTTTATGAGACGGCTCGCTGTTGAAAATTTTAGGGTTTATAAAGTAATGACTAAGAATAAACCTGGGGCAGAAGACCCACCGTTAGCGCGTAATCAATTTCTCCACTCTCTAGCACCGAATTATCCACTAAATCAGACTTGTTGTGTGATCTTTACCTGCTGCTACCAGACGATTTTCAAGACCCCTTTCACAATCAATCAAAATCTTCTAGAGATTTGATGATGCGATGAAGCCCCACCAGAGTTACGGAGTTAAGTCTTATTTCCAGGAAACTGGTGAGGTAGACCAAGTCCGTGTAACTACGGTTCGACTTGCCGTGCTTCTGTCAATGTCATGTGATACAGTCCTGCCAGGCTGAGATATAAAACTCCATGAACCTGTTTGTTTGACGAGCCTTGGTCATTTCGCCTTTACGGTCGCCAGCTTTGCAAACTAGTTCCTCTTTTTCTCCAAAGGATAAGAAAAACCAATCGTTTTGTAGAGCTATAACTGTTCCACCGAGATGGTCGCGACCCTCCCATTCGGCGACCTGCAGGTCCCTATTCCCGGCTATGGCGCCATGGGCCTCAACAGCAGCTTAGGGACTGATTTCAACTACGAGCAATCCGAACCAGTTCTTCTGAAAGCCATCGAGCTCGGCTGTACATTTTGGGATACCGCAGTAAGGCGTTTCTTCCCCATGCAAACCAAGGACAATGGTTTCTGACTGCGTCTGCGGCCCTAGGTAGCCTACAAAAATGGCGAAAACGAGAAGCTGCTCGGAGAGTTCGTCAGAAGGCACAATGTCCGCGATAAGCTTTTTGGTAAGCACCAACCACATTGCCCAATCTTCCTTTATCTATATTTACTGGCTCACAATCCTGTTCATGTAGTTGCTTCTAAGTGTGGTTTTGACGTCTTTGGACCTGAGCGCAAAGTGGACAACTCCGCTGCGCATATCAAGCGATACATCGACGGAACGATCGACAGGCTTGGTTTCACGCCTGATCTCTACTATCTCCACCGAATTGATCCCAGTGCGTATAATCATGATCACCCCTCCAAAGTGATCCTGTTTTGTTGGTGACCGGTATACTAACTTGACTCAAAACTCACCGAAGACACGCCCCTCGAGGAATCCATTGGTGCCCTAGATGAGCTTCGCCGCGCCGGGAAAACAAAATACATTGGTCTATCCGAATGCTCGGCTGAAACCCTGCGCAGGGCAAACGCAAGTTCGTACTGTCCACTACGATTATCTACGGCAAATGGAAGTACAAGCTAACATAACACCCCCAATCCTCAAGTTGCCAAGATTGACGCCGTTCAAGCCGAGTACTCTGCTTTTGAAACCTGCCACGAGAGCAGCGGCCTGATCAAGGCGGCTAAAGAATTAGGAGTGGCCTTTGTGGCATTCAGCCCTCTGGGTCATGGCTGGCTCGTGGATGACTTCAAGTTCAAGTCACCTGATGACTTCGCACAAACTGACTTCCGACGCACTGGTATGTCACACCTCAGTTACACATGGAGAACTATGGACTCTACGTTTCTATCTCGTACCAAATCCGGGAAACTGACTATCTCGCTTGCAAAAAAGTCTTTAGTCCCAAAGTTTCAGGGCGAGAACTTTTACAAGAACAAGGCAATCGTCGACTTAATCAGAAAGCTGGCAACTCGCAAGGGCTGCTCGGTCGCGCAGATCGCTCTAGCCTGGGTGGCTGCGCAAGGGTTAATCTCTATTCCAGGAACAACCCGTGCCTCCCGCTTGGAAGAGAACTGGGCATCACGTAACATTGAACTAACGGCAGACGAGCTGGACGAGATGCGGCAGATTGTGGATGCTGCCAAACCTGTCGGAGAGAGATTCAATGAATTTTTTCAATCGATGGTTGGTCATTAGAGGTTGATGCAAAGGTCCGATAGTTAGGTGGAAGGTGACTGTTGTTCTGGTTAGTCATAGTCTCGTGCCGTTGACTGTTCTCCCTAACTACAAGATTAAGGCTGTAATAAATCTATGGTTCCCAATGAAACCGTCGCTCTTCCACATTCGCTCTACCATTTGTTGTTGGCCTGAAATTCCTTCAATTCGTGTCAACTTTCCTCGTCGTGGCGGTCTTGAGCATATGACGGTTCCATGGTACCTCATGTGCGGTCAAGTCGCTACTCGAGAAGATTATTCTCATGAATCTGTTTCTTATACTATGAGAACGATGTCTCATATGGTGACATATTGGCGTTGTAGGCTTGAATGAAGCGCCTCGTAACCGAAGTGGGGAGCAGTGGAGAATGATGCAGGAATAAAATACAGCAACGTAGAACGAGGATGCAACAAGAACTTTGAAGTCTTCTCTCGCTCAAGAGCCCGACGCATGGATGTATAACTCGACTCATACACATTACATTCTCCGCATTCTCTATATTGATCTCTGCTGATCGCCACTTAGTTTACGAGTCGATAATATTGTATGGACTGTGCTTACGCGCTCTTGATTGGTAAGCAAGCTTAGAAGAATTCGTACATAGCTGACATGGGAAGTAGTAGTGCTGTGCATGACTCCTATTAATCAGGCGCTTTATTTGCTTATATTGACAAAGTAAGATTCTGGGGTACGGATAATCACGTTCTGCCCATAAGGGGAAAAGAGAGAGACCATCTGCAAAGAGAACATACACGTCCAGAACTGACTGCCATACGTTACAATCCGCAGCCATCTAAGCACTCATAGCCTCAATTTTCAGCAAAGAACGTGCAGCATCAACAATTGTTTCTTCCAAAGGACGATACTTCAAACCCAGGATTCTTTGCGATTTGGATGTGTCGACAGTGTAAACATCAGAAGGGACCTCTCCCGCACTAAGATTTCCGATAGGCACTCGGTCTTTGATTTCAGGAAGGTTGGCCCGCAGAGCATTCACAAACTGCTGGTAGGTAAAGTTGCCCTTACAAATGAAGAAACGCTCACCGCCAGCTTCAGGCACCTGGTAGGCACGAAGGTGTGCCTCAGCCACGTCACGCACGTCCACAAACGACCAAAACATATTTCCGGGCACTGGATCGCTAGATTTGGACTGTGGCGACATTAGGCGGTAAAGGTCCATAGAAGAGGTATTCAACCTGGCAAGGTCGGCAGTGGCATTAATGTTAGGGCCATATATCATTGGCGGCATGATTGTCGTGATATCAAAGTTGACTTTGTTGCTCTTAACAAAGTCCCAGGCATAACGCTCAGCCAAAGATTTCGCAGTTGAGTAGGCCAACCCGGCCGGAGCACCTTCGGCCGCGGCAGCTTCGTAGGGCGTTGGGTTCCAGTCAAGTTCGGAGTAGACATGGCCAGTCCACCTGCCCTTGCTATGGTCTGCCATAGCCGCAAAGGAGGAAGTTAGGACAACGCGTTTGACCTGAGGAGCAAATGCATGGACAGATTTGAGAATGTTGAGTGTTCCATCGATGGCCAGCTTGAGTAGGTCCCGCTCATTGTCCTCAACTCCAAAAACCTGGAATGGAGCAGCTGTATGGATCACTCCATGAACACCTTTAACTGCGGTGTCAAAGGCCCCTGGCCTAGCAACATCCTCAACGACGGCGAAGGTTAATTGAGACGCATAGTCAGAAAAGGTATGTCGAACTTTTTCGGCAGTTGCGGAAGACCGAACAGTTCCTCGGACCTGGTAACCCGCGCGGAGGAAATAGTCGACTACATGGGAAGCCAAGAAACCGGATGCTCCAGTGATAAGGATGATTTGGTCTTTAGGGGCCATCGTTGTATTGTGTTGTGGAGAGACTCGATGGGTGAAGCAGAAGTAGGGTCAGAGACAATTATGAAATTGGAGTGCTCAATTATGGACTCTCGAACCTAACAACGAGTTTTACGTATTTATGTACTTCTACTTCGAAAGTGAGCTTAATGGTGACCTGGTGACTCCTGTTACCCCTTCTATTATTTCCCTTGCCACCCTTATCTGTTTGTCCGTTAATTCCGGGCTTACGGTCAGTCTACAGTTCAGGGTTGTATACGAGCACCGACACCCGAGAACCGAGCCCCCGAAGTTAAAGTCATGACGTCCGCTGTCCCAACTATTCCTTTGAGTTTGAGCTAGTCGATCCAGCTGCTCCTCAAAAATCACTCTAGTCTAGTCACTAGTAAGTAGTAACACGCCTGACATGGAACCCACTCACTGATTTTACGGAGATAATATCAAAAAGTCCGTTACAAGCTAATCTCCAAATCATCCAAAGCAATTTTAGATAACACACATACTAGTCCACACTAGACGCGGCCTAATAGCCCGTCAGTAGCCACAAAGTCTGAACGATCAAAGCGAAACTTCGGCAATTATTTCGGCTTTGGGTTGATCTGGGTGTCAACAAACAAAGAGCGGGGGTTATTTTTAACAAGCGAAATTCTCGACTAAAGTAATTCCAAGAAAGCTAACCTTCAATCGTTCGACAACAGAGTTTTTTCTATATACTATTATATTTTTAACTAGTTAAGTCTGGCCAAATGAATGTCCTTCCTAATCTGAAGTTGGAATAAAGCGCATGCCATATCAATATCGCTCGTTTCCCACCGCTTGCACGTTGCTCCAGCCAGCAACTCTATGTGCGGTAAATTGTTACCAACGTGTAGGCCCTGCAAATCTAATTCAACCCAGTTGTCGCAGTTTTTCAAAGACTCAACCGCAATGTTTGGCACCTTCGGTTTTTGCGGGTCTATGAAGTCAGTATCCCCGCTCGAGGATCCTTGCCCAGCATCGATATTAGATTACTTTCCCAAAGCTTTAAATCAGGTCAAAGCACATCGCTTGGTATGTATCTAGATTTATACACTTGAAGATCCGCAACCTGCGACTTGAACTATATGCAAGGGGTTCAAGTCTTCCCTATTCAGCCATTCTCTGGGAAGTCAGGCGCTGGTATCGATATGGGGCCAAGATGCATACGCCGTGAGTAGTAGAAGACTGGATACCACAAAGGCTTAGTGGTACAGGGCGGGCGCAATGCGTGTATAAAGTGGTGTGTCAGTAAGCAGTTCAGAATAAGTTGTCTACTTGGCCGGTGTATCCGCTTATGGGTTTCCTAGGCCCTCCCAATTGCTGGGTATCCACTAGAGCCGAGAGTAGGATTTCTCTTGGCTTGCCATGGGCCTAGTGGCTGCCTGTAGCAGGGCCCGATAAACGTCATCCTTGATTTCTTTTGTCCCTTCCTTTCTGAAACCTTGGAATTTTGAAGAGAGGACGCACTATGGCAGAAGTTCCAACTTACAGTGGCGTCACTCCGTTTTGAATATTGGTGGCGCTAGGCTAATCACATGTTTACGGAGTGGACTGACCTCTGCTCTGTTATTCCGAATTGTATCTGTTGTAATCAACAACGTCTGGGTCGTGGTTAAGAGCTGCAGCGGCGGCACTCAGGGGCCGGCCCCACTTGAAAGCAAACATTCCCTCTGCCCATCTCTACCTCATATACATGCGGAGTTTGGGTTAAACCCGGTTGCTTATTCACTAATGGTGGGTCATTACCTGATCCACCAAAGTGGCCATGCATGCCAATACCTGCTTCTTTCCAACTCGCTGGGGTGAGCAACTCTGGGAATACAGGTCTACACAACAGTTGTGACAGAGCTACCATGATCAGTTGCAACAAACTGAGCTATCCGAAATAGAACTCATGGATTTATCCATTACGGATTCAGGAATAACCATACACATCGCTTTGTCGTCTCCAGGATCTAGCTGCAGACGTCCTTTTTTGCAGAATGCCATCGCTCCTACCTGCAGTCCCTTTCATTCACTACTCCAAACATGACAGCCCCTGCGGGGTGTCAGACCTGTTTTCCACAAAAGCACAGCCGCGTTTACGGTGCCGAGAACAAAATATTATTCTAGCAGGTGGAATACTGTCGTCATGCCTGTGATAATAATCGAAAAGAAGAAGAGAGAGAAAATAAGGTTTCTAAACTGGTATCCACCATAATTTCCATAGCCCTCTCTGCCTTGTCTGCTTCCACATCTTCGATAGGCATCCTTGCGAGAAAGACCATTATGACCCTAGATCTGCTTGTGAGTAGCCCTGCTGTGTTGGCCCTGAGAGACTGCTATCAGCCTTGAGCGCCACACACAGAGACTTTTTGGAACCCTGTATCTAGCTGCGACTATTTCTCCATAAGTAGACGCTCTACTACAATACTATAGGTATTGGACGAAATCGTGCAATGGACTCGAGTTCACCAAAAAAGCTTCACATTCAACAACAGGAATATGACACAGGAAAATGCAGGGGTGTCATAAGCAACTCACATTAGCGTAGGTCGATCATGTAAATATGGTTGAGGCAAGTACGAATATCGTGGCTCGGCATAACGCGTCTCGAAATACACTAACATCGCTCCGGCCTTGGGGGACTACAACGACGTACGTCAGTGAGTGTCTGCATGCATAAATAGATCGGTGCCACGATGTATAGATTGTTTTTGTACAAATTCCTTTCTGTGCCCTCATCATACAGCCGGGTGAGCATTCGACATATACGACAATGCAATCTTTCATGCGTGCGGTTGCTCTCGTCGGCGCGTTCAATATCAGCGTCATCGATGTGCCCAAGCCGACCATCATAAATTCAACCGACGCCGTTGTGCGCATCGCAGCAACTGCCATTTCTGGTAGCGACCTACACAGATACCACCACAATTCGGCTTCGCCAGGGAACCCCCAACAGATAGGCCACGAGGCCATTGGTTATATAGAAGATGTTGGGGACTCCGTTGAGTTTCTGAAGGCTGGCGATTGGGTCGTCATTCCTTTCGCGTTTGACGATGGTCATTACCAATATGGACCCATACTTGATGCCCCGGCAGCGTCATCTATAGGTATGCAAGGTGAGTTTGTCCAATCCGGTGATCTTTTCGACTGCGGCAAATATTGATATGGTCTCTCCTCCGCTCTGTAGCCGAGTATGCGCGCATCCCCTTTGCGGATGAGTCCCTTATGCCTGTGCCCATCAACGCTAGCACCAATACGTCTACTATTCATGATTATCTCTTCATGTCCGACATTCTCGCAACGGGCTGGACAGCGCTTGACTTTGCCGGTCAGAAACCCGGAGATACGGTTGCAGTTTTCGGTGCCGGTCCCGTAGGACAAATGGCTATCCTTTCTGCCGGACTGCGCGGTGCTTCAAAGATCTACGTTGTAGACCACGTACAAGACCGCCTGGACCTGGCCGCCGCCCACGGTGCCATTCCGGTCAACTTTGCGTTGGAGGACCCCGTGGAAGCACTACGCCGCTTCGAGCCGGCTGGTGTTACGCGCGTCCTCGACTGTGTTGGTTACGAGGCCGAAGATGCGGCGGGCAATGTAAACAGTAGCATTGTGCTGCACCAGGCTGGACAGGTAGTGGCGCCGCAGGGCGGTATTGGTATCGTCGGAGTCTACGGGAGTGGAAACCAAGCGCAGACGGTTGACATCAAGCCTCTTTTCATGAATAATTTTTCAGTGCGTGGAGGCGTCTCATCGCCGCTGAGTCTCGGCACTCAGATGCTCAACCTCATCATGACCGGTAAACTGCGCCCAGGCTCCATCGTCAGCGCCGTTATCGGAATTGAGGAGGCGCCCGAGTACTACGCGCGGTTCAACCGTCGTGAGGAAACGAAAGTCGTCATTGAATTTCCTTACTGAAAAGAAATTTCATATCCGCAATCACCTAGGAGTCTCCGGGATTCCCATATCAATCACTGCCTTGGGTTTCTTGAATCAAAAGTAACTGAATCTCCAACTTTGTAGAGAGAAATTGTCAGTTGCAAAAATGTTACCCCCTCAATTTATTATAGATATGGTATCAATATATCTGCTTCCCGTTACACAGTCTAGTTAAAGAAACTCTAAGTTATCTTTTAGTATTAGTAATGGCCGCCATTGACCGCCGTAGCACAGCGAATGAAATCACCTGACCTGGTCGGACCATCCATTTCCCTTTACCATCCAATGAACCACACCCCCTACCCTTAATCACACTCGAGGCCATGGAATCTATAATACAATATGGTTGAGGCTGATAGTGAACGTGCCCAGGAGGCGCAGGCGACTCCAGCAAGGCCGACCTCAGATATCACATTCCACAGCATCGCTAGCGAGACTCGATCTGCCAAACGGCGGAAGACACAACTTGCATGTAATGCCTGCCGTGATCAGAAGACACGCTGTAATGGGAACAGACCCAGCTGCTCGAGATGTGCAAAAAAAGGTTTTACCTGCACATATGAAAAGGGATCGTTGAAAAACCAAAGGTATAGCTTCCACACCAAAATACCTTTCTGGATGCCATGTAATAATCATTAAACGGGTTAATGCAGATACATTTCCACACTAGAAGATCGCCTGAAAGAGCTCGAAAAGCACAGCCGAGGGGGTCCTGCTCGAGCCCCTCGCGATATAGCAGATCCAGGACCCAGCTGTAAGGCTACCACAACATCCGACTTCGAAGGATGTGGAGAAACAACTCCTGTTGAACTTTACATCACATTGCAAGAGAGACTAAATCACAATACTAACTCTGCGGCAGTAAATGGTCGTCTCAACTCTCCACCTCCACCGCTAGAAAATTACCCTGAGGCCCAAGTTTTGATGCAACAAGATTCGCGCCCTTCATTTCAGAATGAGATGATTGGCACCGATGCAACAGTAATTGTGCCATCGTTGGAAGACAACGAATACTGCTCTTCTGCAAATACGTCCACGATGGCCCTTGTCCAGTCCACAATGCGTGCTACAAACTCAAGCAAAATGAGTGGTAATATGCCGGGGTTGAATATTGCCAGCAACATAGATCAGTTTGCCAGTCCACAGCATATTCGACGAAATAGACAAAATTCCGAAGGCCCAGAGATAAACGCATTTACTTTACCCACACGACGTATGGCCGACAACTTCATGAGTTGTTTTTGGAACTTTACACATCCAATATTCCCAATCCTCCACAAACCAACCTTTGTCATTTCCTATGACAGCTTATGGGTCCCTCCGACCGAAAGCTTCTCGGGTAGCGTGTGTGGCAAAGCAGAAGACCCTATCTTTTTGTCGACTATGAACATCGTCTTTGCCATCGGCTGCCAATTTAGCGACCTGGTCGCTCCTGGCAAGAGGACAAGCCTAGCTGATCAATTCTATCAGCGGTCTAGGGCGCTGTACGACATTGATGCGCTAGATTCCGCATCGCTTCTTACCGTCCAAATGCTGCTTCTCACCGGTCTTTATCTGCAGTCAACGAAATACGCGAGTCGTTGTTGGCACATGGTTGGCCTTGCAATCCGAACCGCACAAGACATTGGCATTCATATCGAACACACTCGGCCATCAAAGACACAGCTTGAACGAGAAATGAGACGCAGAGTATGGCACAACTGTGTCATATTGGATCGGTCAGTTCACTTTCGCATATCCTGCTAGCATTTTCATTGAACTTATGAGCGACACTTAGGTTACTCGCCCTTACGTTTGGCCGGCCAAATATGATTTCCAGCAACTCGGCTGTTCCTCCACCGCTGATAATCGATGATGAGTACTTACTACAAGACGGCGAAGTATTCAGCGAAGTCAATCCCAGTCCAGTATGGAATTCTTTGTCTGTTCGATCCAATTGTTCGAGATCTTGAACGGCATCATGTCCAGGATATATCGTTGCGAAAGTATCAACCATTCGAATGGAGGAGCTGAAGAGCTTTGGTGGTCTCGTGGATGCCTCGAGGACGTTTTAAAGCTAAATAGCGCTCTTGATGACTGGCGCGACACAATTCCTGATAACCTACGATTGGAGAGTGCCATGGAAGCAAGAACTGATCCGAGGAGCGATACAGCTGTCTTACAAGCCAAAGTTCTCTATTCAAGGTTCGTGTCTTCCACTATTCTGTTTGTATCTATCAGTGCTCGGACTCATCGCTAACTAGTCCCAGATTCCTGTACATTCGCATCCTGTTACTAAGACCGACCCTACTTTCCGCCGCTCAGAACCGGCACCATCTGTCCAAAGGGGATGACTTGGGACAACTTAGGCTAGAAGAACATCTGGCCATGAAAGTGTGTGGATTGTGCCTCTCGACAGTTCACACACTAGTTACCCATCTCAACGAGAATCTAGATGCGGTATATCGAAGTTCTGGTTGGCGTACAGTACATTGTTAGTAATTACCCTTACGCTGAAATGATTCCTATCTTGGTTAAGTCGATGAGTGGCTAAAACTTCATGTTTAAGACACCTTTCTTTGCGGCATAGTTCTTCTTGCGGCCCAACTATGTCCTATCCCTAGTGACGAGTTTGATAGCGCCACCCTTCAGGAATTGGTATCCTGCTGCATCACCATACTTGAACAGCACAAACTGCAAATCCAATCTGCAGTTCATGCGATCAAGATTCTTGAGAATCTGCAACATCGCGTTGTACTTGCTTGTGAGGCTGGTAAGATCTAAAATGCGCAATGAAACTAACCCATACGTTATCAAGTTATGTCTAATTTCTTCCCTAATTCCTTCTTAGATATTGACGGACTGACTAGCGACCTTTCCAAATCCGTTGATCCAGTGAACATGAATACTTTGCCGGGGGATGATTACACTTTCAATACGACTTCTCAGGGTGACTTGTTACAATTCGATGAAATTGACACAACACGGCTTAGTGAAGCCTGGTTCATGGAGCAGGTTGGGGATATAGAGTGGTTGGGAACTTCTTGACTCGTCTGTGAACGACTTCAACTTCAAAATATGTCTTGTGGATTCCCCAATGAGTCTGAGGTGGCCACAAGTTGGTCACTATTCATGTACATCATCTAAGATGAACCTACGGATATTATACCTATTGGCTCGTTGTAGGACACCGTTGGTCCCAGTCTCCCAGGAACATTACGTTGGTAATACTGGGCTAATATATACTTGCTTACGAAGCTCCAATGGAACATTGCTGGAATTTGCACCTTCATCATATGGTGGATTCACCGTTTACCTCAATGGGAGGTTTGATGACAACGAGGTCCTCGACGCCCACGCGAACCTTCTGGCCGCCCGCTGCTACCTCTCCGCTGGAAACATTGCTCGAGGTCCACGATTGAAGTTGTACTTGGTAGTGGACAATGTTTTCTACCCCTGCACAAATACAAATCTGTCATGTTCACTGCCCGGTTCGATGGGAAGATCAGCAAACGTCCAAGTCCTACATCCTATCACGTAGCAACCGGTAAACCGCAGAGTATGTACACATATACGTAGTTCTTATGGAGTTACTTGCGGCGGCCGAATACTCTTGAACGCCCATGCCTGGATCTGCTGAGGCTTACCAATCGCGTAATGTACAGTACTTGGTCTTTGGGTGTACTCTTTAGCCATCCCCAATATGGCTAAATATCTCCTTAGCAGCCATATCTCTTAGTGATCATATATTAAGAGCGACGTGATCTAGCTGGCAATGCCAAGTCGTTTGCGCAGTATTGAAAGACTATTGGAGGTATCTGTAGACGTGTATCTATATACTTCTCACAAATTTCAAATCAAAAATACGCCGTAATTTACAGTACAATAACAAGTAGTTCTCGAAATGGCGTAAAGATTACATGTGATTCCTCTGCTAGGAAACGTGGATATTCTGGAATCATAACAGAAATAAATTCTCGGTGGCTAAATAAGGAGAAATTACAATATTGCAATCAATATTGTTGTGTCTCTAGTGCCTCCCGTGCTCATCCGGCTCGATTACTACTCATGACCGGGAAGATTCCGAGCATACGCGGAGATCGGGACGGCATGATTGTGGTTCGATGGCTCCACATGAGTCAAAGTACTACTAGCGAACATATCAAAGATCGGGCGATATGTTGGTTTTCGTCTACCTTATCTGACATGAACACGCTGGTAGTGACATTTACGAAGCAATAAATATTCTTTTCCGCTTATAAGGTAAGAACTCTTTCATCATGCCTTTCATTAATCCATCCCTCGCCCCTTTTTTCCACGGCCATCCGACGGTTGCATCACGCACTTCTATTGACAGCCAGGATGGGTGAAACCGATGCAAGTGAAAAACCATCGGTCCGACAAGTTCCTCTCTGGCGACTGGTATGGGATCAAGCTCTGATTCTCCCGGAAGTGCGCGATCACCACTATCCAGGTTCAGGTACCGACATCGACCCGTATCGTGTATGGTGGATTCCAAATGACGCCCGTAATCCGATCAGCTTTTCCAGCGGCAGAAAATGGTTCATAACCAGCCTTGTTACCTCCTCTACATTCGGCGTGGCCCTTGTCTCTTCAGCCTTCACCGGAGGGTCGGCAACGATCATGGCAGAGTTTCATATCAACCATGAGGTTGCCAACCTGGGGGTTTCTCTTTTTGTCCTTGGATTTGCGCTTGGCCCATTGCTTTGGGCTCCACTGAGTGAAATGTTCGGCCGCCAAAAACTGTTCATCGTAACGTACTCTGCAATGACTGCATTCATTGCGTGTACTACGGCAGCTCAGGATATTCAGACTATACTTGTCCTGCGGTTCTTTGCTGGTGCTTTTGGCTCATCCCCATTGACCAATGCCGGTGGTGTTGTCGCCGACATGTTTGCGCCCTCACAACGAGGCCTTGCAATGGCCTTATTTGCTTCGGCACCATTCTTAGGCCCCGTGGTTGGTCCTATCGTTGGTGGATTTCTCGGTATGAGCGCGGGATGGAGATGGGTTCTAGGCCTCCTAGCCACCGTGTCCGGAGTGTTATGGATCCTTGGTGCGCTGATGATTCCTGAGACCTATACGCCAGTCCTCGTTCGTCGGCGGGCAGAAGAGTTGTCAAGGATAAACGGCAAGGTTTACTTAAGCCAACTTGACGTTGAAAAGCCCCCCGCTAAGCTCTGCCTGGCCTTCAAAATAGCCTTGTCACGCCCCTGGAAACTGTTATTCAGAGAGCCTATTGTATTTTTATTCTCGGCCTACCTAGCCCTCATCTACGGAACACTTTATATGCTCTTCGCCGCATACCCCATCATCTACCAACAGCACTTTGGCTGGAACCAAGGTATTGGAGGATTACCCTTTCTTGGAGTTCTCGTTGGAATGATTTTAGCCCTTCTCTACACCATCCTGGATAACAAGCGATACGTCCAGATAGTCCAGGAGAACGGTGGGCAAGCCACTCCAGAGGCTCGTCTTCCCCCATGCATTATCGGCGGGGTAGTCATACCAGTAGGGCTTTTCTGGTTTGCCTGGACAAATTCACCATCAATCCACTGGATATCCAGCGTCTTGTCCGGTGTCGGCTTTGGATTCGGAATGGTGCTTGTGTTTCTAAGTGTGCTGAACTACCTTATTGATACATACACGATCTACGCTGCTTCAGTTCTTGCAGCAAGCGCATTCACACGCTCCCTGTTTGGTGCTGCATTCCCACTATTTACGGACCAAATGTTCCAAAACTTAGGACTCCATTGGGCTGCTTCGGTTCCAGCATTTCTTTCCGTTGCCTGCGTCCCATTCCCCGTAATTCTATACATATATGGAGAGAAAATCCGCAAGCGTTGCCGATATGGAACAAAAGAAGAGATATTCATGCATCACACGAGACACGAGAACCTAGAGCAACCTGTCGCAGAAAGCTCTGAAAACCAGGATCCGGGCGGATGCCCATCTCGACTTGACAGAGAGTCCAGATCGTTACCTCAGAATTCATAACACCGGCTCGCGACCAAGCGCTCTGGGAATTAATTACGACTAATAGCAAGTCTGCATAAATGATCATGAATGAAGTCTGTTCGATGCGGATCGTGTCAATGCCCCCGAGCGATGATTGGGGCATTGAGCTTTATTGCAGAAGAGAAGGGTATCAGTGGTCTTACGTAGCATCAGCTATATTGCGCAAAAAAATTGATTAGACTAGTGGACTATATAACTCATAGGCGTGAAGAGGAGAGGAAATATAAGCACTCTGCTTGGGTAGGGACTTTCTTGAAATATCTGTTTTCGAACAAATAAGGTAGAATCGAGAAATCGACACCCAGCTTGTCTGAAGACTGGGTTAGTAGATCATTTGGCAGTATTGCAAACATAACTCAGGTGGATGTAAATCTGCAACCACCATGGACAATAATATAATCGACGGTTGGACAGCCTACACGATTAGACAGCACATCTGGTTATCCCATATAAAATATGTCTTTTTGAATCTATTTGTATCATAACTAGTAATAGATTTGATTAGTTCTTATCTACATATAGATAATATACAGCATAAACAATAATATATAATCCTAACAGATATATCCAGATTTTTCATATAAAAAATATGCCAAGGTATCTGAAATTACAGATGAAAAAAAATATATAGTTATATAATGGGATACTATCTCGTACTTATATAGATGTCTAAAAAGTATTGGATAATTATTTATATGTTTATAATTAATTTATATAATATTCAGTCTTCTAGACTTATAATGATTGAGAAATCTTGAGTCTAAAAAGAGCCTTTTATATAGTATTACCATATAAGCCGTCCAACTGTTGATTACGCTAGAAGCCAAATAGCATGGTATTCATTGAAAAGCAGGAAATAGACATTACATACTTATAATCTCTCACAATAACTAGGGTCTAGTGAATCTATTTCATCCCGATCATCTCCTTAGCCTTGGAGACAAAGAAGTCTTTTCCTTTGATCATGGCAACCAGCTTTCCCCATGGAACCATCCCAAACATCTGGCCAGTTCCACTGGATGACCCCACAGGCACAATCATCATTACTTTATCGTCCGCGGTATATCTCTTTCGCTTGCCTTGCCCCATGATATCAGCTTTAAGGTTGCATGCAACCACCGGGATCTGTTCCTGGGCTTTGAGTAACAAGCGAGCCGAGTGGCTGGTGATGTCTCCAATCGCATAAATGCTAGTAGATCCCATGACGCGCATTTCGCTGTCCACAGACACCCATCCCTTGCTGTCCAGATACTGTGACGGAATGAACTTGTTGTTGGGAACCACTCCGGTCGTCGAAATGTATACGTCAGCCTCCATGGTCTGACCGTCATCCAAGTCTACCTTCCATTTTCCGGAGGTAGCATCTTGCGTCGACCTCACAACCTTGCGCGCCCGTACCAATTTCACCCCTTTTTCAGTCAGTATGTCCTCCGCCCTCTGTGATGCGGCCTTTTTGAGTGCGGGCAAAACATGCCACGTCGAGGATATCAGCGCGATGTCGATTTTGCGAGCATTCAAGGCCTCAGCTAGCTCCCCAGCAAATTCCACACCAACCGCACCGGCACCTCCAATGACGACAGATTTGGCTCGCGCAATCTCACGTTGCGCGGCGTTGATCTGTGTCTCCAGATCTTTCTCTCCGGTTGGTTTGAAAGGCGCTAAGGTGCTTCCATGAGCTGTTGACGATGGAGTGGAGCTACCGGAAGCAATAACCAGGTAGTCGAAGGCGATGATCCCTTTGTTGGCAACAACAACGGTTTTAGAATCAGGATTGATGTCGACTGCGTGGCCTTGGATAAACTCGAATGCACCAGCAGGGGCATGGGCAAAGGCCTTGACGATGGGAAGTAGATACTGGTCAGATTTATAGGCCGTTGGCTTTGCCAGAATCCGAGGCGAGGCGATGTTGAAAAAGAATGTGTCCGAGGGGTTTATGATCACAACGTGGATGTTGGGGGTTGCCTTGAGAAGGGTTTGGGCAAGCCAAATGCCAGCATAAGATGCTCCAATAATCACGATCCGTGTATTCGGAGACATGGTGAGATACAGGAGGCAGAGAAGAGACAATCTTTGGCAGGTGAAGCAGAACACTATCCTGGCGATAGAGGGGGAAGAACTCACTTATATATGATCGTTTTGCCTCGGGTTTGCCCCTAATAAACGCAATAACCTTCATCATTCCTATTTACTAATCGGTTATGTCATTTCTTTTGAACCAAGTCCTCTATAGATGACAATAGCGCGATGCTGAAATTTCCCCCTAGCTAGAGATAGATCCATACAGAGGGTGCTTATAAATCCCACAGAGCTGGCGGTCCACAATTTCTTTGCAAACACACAGGTGATAACTCCGGAGTCTCCACTAAAGTTACCACGAAAGCTTGTTACAAATTCTCCATGATCATTTTGAAGTGTAAACAACATTAGTATCCGATTACAAATACTATTCCGATTCTAATTAGCTTATAAATTACTTGTACTATACTAAATAGCAGTACTGACGCCACAAAGAGCTTGCTAGTCGCGGAAATATTCCTTCGTATTAAAGAGGATGTTGGTTTTAGTAATGCTGAGGTGCATTACGCCTACATAGACCCCGTGTTCATTGCGTTTATATCTATCAAAACCTACATATTCTCCTTAGACCAAAGCTCAATTACAATCACCATACTATTTATCTCTTCAGTCCATGGTCACTCAACAAACTCAGCCTATTGCATATATATCTGTTGGAAAATTACAAATTCGACGCTCGGGATCGGGCCGGAAGCAAGCCGAAGTTCGCGGAGATCGGCTTGACGTTAAAATACATAAAGTTTGTTACAGAATAGCTCCCCGACTTGTAGGATGCTTTATCTTAGGGTTGAAGATGAAGCCCAGCGTGGCATGTCCGAAAGAGGCATTCAACCAGATTATGGGGTGTCGCTTTGCTAAGCCGCAGATATCGGCAAGTCCCGTACTGGAAGTGTTTGCCTGGGGAAAAATTGTTAGCCTTCTTACAACCATTGCAACGATTGTTGATTCCCACTTGGATTTCCTAATATCATCAACTATGGCTACCTCTCGCCATGGAACTGCCGTGCATCTTCACTACCTCTCCCATGCGTACCGGAAACGTTCCTCTAGGAATTGCTGCTTGAAGGAAATTGACCAGTGTATGCCTATCTGGGCTTCCTCAAGGACATGCCATCAGCGATCGAGTAGATCATCTTAAGAGTTGGGTGTGTTTTTGTGACTAGTGAACTACAGCTTATTCGTACCATATATAGTTAAGCCTCTTGGTGCTGATATGCACTGCATTCAGTGGTTCGATTGGTTCTCCGACCTTTCTAATATTGTCTAACATGAGTAGGTACTGGGATTTTGCTATGCCGGCGTTATTATTTTATTAATTTATTAATCCTTTCATATGTGTTTTTGGGGGGGGGGGGGGGGGGGGGGGTTCCTTTTCATCTGTAACATTTCCGTATCGTTGACAATGTAATGCTAAAATGGGAGGAATCTGAGAATATAAGGCGAAAGAATCAACACATATAGTTAGCAATCTTTAACTTCTATAATGACTGCAATTGACAAAATCTTGAGTTCCCTACATCCACCCACGTTGTATCTTTGTATTTTTGTATCTGAAGTGAAAAGACGTGTTGGCAGAAGGACCATCCCTAGCCACCAATCATACTTCTCCGCTCACGAAGAGTGCATAAACTCCTTTTGATCACTCGGTGGCCAATATCTTTCAACAAATTTGCGACCTTCCTTTACCCATTCTTCATCCAATGTGCTCATGCCATCAAACCCATGTGAGCCAGGCTGAACAGAGAAGTGGAACGGCGTGCTTGGATGGGTTTTCTTCATCTGTTCCACAAAGTTTGCGGCAGTCGCCATCGGCATCTATTGAGCTGTTAGTCGTAACAACTATTCTCCCTTTCCTTGGCTTTGTGGTACTTACGATTGGATCATTAGTGCCCTGAGCAAGCCAGATGGCTGGTGGGTTATGAGCTTGTTTAAGAGTACTCATCAGGCGAACCTTGTCTTCATTTCCTATGAACTCACGATGTCTGCCCTCTGCAAGGATAGCCTCACAAAGATCCCATCGGTCCGGCATAGGGGAAGACACTCTGATCGAACTAGGTTTAAGCTTTGCCAAATAATCGCTGACAATAGAGTGGCCTGAGGGAGGCGAAAGGGGTGGTGGGTTGTAGAACGGACTATCAATATCGAGCGTTGCGTATTGGGCCAAAACGACACTGATTCGAGCCTCTGGGAAAAGAAATGCGGATTGCAATGATAAGTAGCCACCTTTCAAGATTCATTAATTGAGCAAAGATATAAGTCTATGACCAGGATGCCTACCAGCACTTTCGCCGGCGACGGCGACCTTAGAAAGCTGTGGAGATAGGCCTTTACGAGCTCTTCCCACCTCAGTAGGTAACGAGGAATGAAGCCAGGCCCAGAAATCTTTCACATCATCAAGAATATCGATACCCTTGGACTCTGGGATCAGTCGATAATTTGGAGTAACTATTATAGCTCCGTGAGTTTCCGCAAGTTGGATAATCCTAGAGACTTTAGGTTAGGTGCCGTATCTTATTGAAGCGAGGGAAGTAATGAAAGGCGGCTAACCACAAAGGAAACCAAGGAGCAAATAGTTTATCGCCAACCATCAGCCCACCACCATGAAAATGAACCAAAACGGGACACTCTCTGTTCTGAGCTTTCTTTGGTATGAGGATACTTGTCTCTAGAGGCGTGCCCGAAACAGTCTTGTAGGCGACTTCGATCTCGTCGAAGGCTCCGAACTTGGCGTCCATTTTGCAGAAGATGCAGAGTCAGAAGATCTATCACCCACGAATGAGACACAAAAAGATGAGGCAGGGTTCAGCATAAATAGAAGTAGATATATTCGTAGGTGAACGACCTGGTCATTGATTACATCATCTCCTATCGGGTTGAAGATGCCGCCAATCTGCCAAGCCGCGGAGATCGGATCATACGAAGCAATCTCCCCGATACTGGTAGACATGGACAAGCTAACTTACTACCACTACTTACTCCACTCCGGATACTTAGCCGGCGATTAGATACTCGGAAACACCATTGCTATCTTTTGAGGGAAATTAGTAACTCTGGTCTCCCATGTGCGAAGAACAAATCCCCAACCCTTGGAATTACTGTATTGAAGCAAACAACCCCGTGAATAAGGACGTGGGTATGTAGAGAATGTATTCAAATGTAAGACCATGGGACCCATTGGGGTTGCAATCCTTGGTGGGATGAAGAGACTAATGGGCCAGAATTAACCTGAGGTCCTTGAGCATGGCGCAATATCGAATAATGACCATAGAGAGCGATCCAGCCGTTGCCCAGGTTACTCGCCTCCTTCACACCAACTTTCACCATGGATTTCATTAGAGCTGTCAAAACTTAACAATTTGCCAGAAGCTTTTTGTTGAGGCAAATTAACAGCGGGGTGGAACACCCGAAGTCTCATCGCAGACCTGCACGCTTGATTCGCTGGCCAGCTTTAGCGAGGGAACCCAACGATGGCCTGTATCTGTCATTGGTGAGTTGCGCTTATCCTTTAAGGGAGTAGAACGTCGACTCCAGCTAAAGCCTCAGAACAACCCTTGATATGAACTGGGTTTTTGTGGCTTTCAATAGTCCCTTACCAGCGTCGTCATCTTGTCCACTAATGTATCCTTAGAAGAACCATGAGCCTCCCTGCAACGCATTAGTGGAGACAAGAAGCCAACCGCAACCGTGGAAAATAAGCGGAAAGAACAGAACCCAGCCGGATATGTGATGTAGCTCATTCTCTACAACTTTTTTAAGGACGTATTGAATCACTAATGTCTACCAAATAGCCAGCGAGCACATCGAGGGCGAAAGGATCGCCATATTCGCGATCTTGAGTACAACCTGTCTAAATTAGGAAGGGCAGATAGGCCAAGATTAGCAATGAAAACTTGCAGTGCAAGATTAGAAAATTAGCACACAAGAAGCTGGCACTCCACACCACATCACACATGACCATTCGCAACACTTTCAGGACATACAAAGGTGTTCAGAAAACAAACACAGGGGCGATGAAGTATTCATTGATAAACTGACATTCCGACCACGAGCCATATCAAAGTCTTGCCCTGTGCCATGACACTGGCAACATGCTTTTGGGCAGTGGTGCAATTCGAAATCTTATTCAGAACCATGAGCATTCAAGCGAGGCGATATCGAAATGGCCGGTATTACCTGCGGGCTTCGTGGGATGGTCCATTTCAATGGGCCGGGTCCTGCATTTCAGGACAGTGCGGCTTGCGGACGAAGGAAGTTAAGTTGATCTATCGATTTTGTTTGGTTCACGTCTTTGTTGGAATGACCATCGTGGTTGAATGTTCAATGAAATGATTTGTAAACGTAGATCAAAGGCGGGTAACAAAGTGGATGTGTTCTAATCACCGTCGCCACGTTCGCGGATAGGTGTCAAAAATTTCATTCCAATCTCCAGACAACCGTACCCGCAATTGGGGTGGAGGATGGGGAGAAATGTTTACGTATATATAAAGAAAATATACTAATCAGGGTTCAAAAACCTCAAAAACATACAACAGAAGGGATTCGCTGGTGGTCACCCACCCAACTACTAACCTCCCGGCGTGTGGCTTGAGTACGGCTGAGCGGACGGGAAGCCCTATTTTCCACACCCTATGGTCGTATGTGTTCGTCTGTGATTAGAGCTGGCTTATATGCTTAGATTAAGCTTAATAGCTGAGAAAGTTTAAGTGAAGTCTGTAGGATTAAGCAAATCCATGTCATTCAGAACTATACGTTTATTCTCAACAGTAAGGTAACCATATAGCTAGTAACTTATATGACTAGCTTCAGCAAGACAAAGAAAATGAATTAGACAAAATTATTGATCCGCTAGCAATAGTTATGCTCTTGACTGGTTTCTATACCGGGAACTATGGGCCCGAATGAAATATAAGGGAGTTCAGCGCGAAGTGGGGATCTTGGAGCACGTATGCCATGTGCTTACCATGAGAATTGTCAGCCAAGGGGGTTTTATATGGGCAAGTAGTGATTTCTCTTCTTTCCACTCATATGAGTTGTATCACCTGGGAGGGCGTGGAAAACCATATATCCCGATCACAAAAAGGCGCCGTGAATGTGCCGAGCCGGCGAAAGGTTTCAACCTTTAAACCGAATGCCGTTGCCTTTTGCTCAACGATTCCAGCGGTATTCGCGCTGGGACCAGTTGTGAAACTCCGCTCCATTACAAGGCCTTGCACCGTCATGTCAGCTTTCATCAAAATGGCCAAGTAAACCTCCCCAACGCTACTGAACGCCGGTTCTAGAGCATCTACTGTAATGTATCCAATTTCTCCATCATCCCCTTGTTCCTCTAAGTGATAATCGCCCACCGCAAGCACCTCTGGAAGCTCGAATAAATTTCCATTTTCCGGATCCCAAATTGCCCTTCTAACAATTGCCCGTAGGATTAGCATCCCACCAATGACTTTACCATACGGGTACTCTTCTCGTGCGAGAAACGTTCGACAGCAGTGGACCTCGCAGATCATGTTGGAAACATCTCTGGTAGCGTACTGAATTTCGCCATCGACCGCGCCCCAACTCCAAGAGGGTGGCCGATAAGTAGCGGGCCGTGGGAACTTGCGCCGTGGAACTGTCCACATGAGGCATCCTGGGAGGTGGTGAGACCAGAGTCTGGCATGATAGACGGGAGTTTCTTCTTGAGCCTTTGGCCAATGTTGATGGAGCTTTTGTACTAGTCCAGACACTGCGATTAGGCGATCTCCCGGTTTTGTAAGGGTACGCTGTGTATAGCAGCTAATGATCTTCCTCCATGTGTTGTCTAGTGTGCGCTCTGCATCTTCGATTCCAGGGACCATGAATGGACTGGAAAGGAAACAATCGTGAAAGACCCAAGACGGTAGTTGCACGATGTCATCTCTAACGTCTCGCGGGTCTGCGGCACGGTCAATATTCATGTGCTCGGTCTGACATTCGTACTGCAGTGTGTGAGAGCAATAGACTAGAGACCGTGGTGACAGAACTCGTTCCTCCAAGCACCATGCCCGACTGTTCACTGGCTCGGGTCGGAGATCAGTTCCATGGCTCAGAAACATAGTCCCCAAAGCACCATCGGGAGTGCGGAACGGAAGTGTGCTTGGAGCTGGAAACCCGGGCCTGCGGTCATGCAAGAAGCCGTCGCTTACTTTGGATGCACATGCGGCAATTTTGGTCACATAAGCATAATGAAAAATGTCTCTCATGTGTGAAATCTGCTCAGCTTTGTCCTCCTTCGAGTCCTGGATAATGCAATACGAGTCCACCCACAAGAACCGTAGCCCTAGGCGGTGAGTTACGGTTATTGCGTCGCGAATGGTCTGTGGGACTCTGGAAACATCAATGCCGCGAGTATACTTCTCTATGTTCTTCGTTGTTGTTTTGGAAGGTTGATCCTCTCCCCAGACATAGCTGAGAGTGACATACGAACGCTCTCCTTTGACCCCAATTTGCAATCGTGGATTCGCAGGGTTGCTACAGTCAATTACTCGGGTTGGCAAAAGGGTCGCTCGTCGTCGTGTACAGAATTTATGATGGTTCACGCAGTCTGAAATGTATTGTCCAGCTAAACCAAATACAGTTGGAGAATTCACCTGCCGGAGCACATCGCGGGTAGTGATATAACGTCCTGCCGGGCTGTCTTGAGTATAGTTAGTAGTATATTCGGCGTAGGACCATCTTGATTTCAGATCTCTGCCATTCAACTCATATTTAACGTACCATCCGCTGAGTATATCAGCCACTTGGGCGTCCAATCACCCACTGTCAACTTCAAATACAGAGACTGCGATGGCTTATGCACGAACTGTACAGTTAACTGGAATGTTGCCTCAGGTGGTGGATCACCTTCACTCCTTGTTTTATGACGGTAGTAGAATTGGATCTCCTCACAGACGAGATCGCACCACTCGCACATGTGGTCAATAGATCTATGCATTGCCCCCCACGAAGGACTGTAGTAGCTGTATCGTGATGATTGAGCTGGGTCCGCGGCGGTGGCCCAGATACGTAGGAAAGTGTCATAGGAGAAGATCGTATCCCAACAACGCTTACAGACAAGGCGTTAATAAGTCGGTCCATTATGGATTTGATATGGAACTAGTTCTCTGAACGAAGGGAGACAAACACTGTGCGCAGTACCGACTCATAATATCTATGTACGTGCGGCTAGGCTTATCTCAGTCAACAGGATACGCAGAGTGCTTAACTGCCAGCAATGACCAAGTGACGTGGCAATACGTCGCATGGACTGGGATGACTGCAGGTCTTATTGTTTTAAGAAATGAAGAGACTACCTAACCATTAATAGCATACCAGCTACCAATTTTGTAAAAAGATAACAAGGTTCTTCCTCGTTAAATTTGGTACTTTGAAGTGACGGGCGGCGTCCGAACGTCAACAATTGGTCTGTCATCGGTCAGCATTTTAGCTTCAACAAACAGATATCTTGGCAATACGGTTTAAACCAGACTGCTCAGAACACCTTTGTCTGGGTCTTCCGCGGAAGGCTCCCCTAGGTCTGGTAGGAACAGAGTTGGGGGCCCAGAGCACTTCGCTCTAATCCATGCTTTTGCTAGATGATAGGTTTGATTAGCAAGATATTTAGAAACTTTCTGTTGCACTCAAGGCTGGGCGGATTGCTCCATGTTCGTTAGTGAACAACTAAAGTATGGACTGGTTCGAACTCTGTACAAGCAGGTCCTTCAGAAAGTGAAATAATATTCGTTCCACTTATCTATTCACGAAATATCTTTATTTATATATTCATAGCATTTGCCGCATCCTTATAATATACTAAGCTTCTAAAAGGATCTGCCTAGCTCCATGTATTAATGAATTGGCAAGATATACTTACATCAGGATCAGTGGAAAGTCATATAGGTATGACGCGGACAGGTAATCCTCTTTCTGTTCCTTTTTGGTACCTGCTATATACATGGTAAACATGTTCGCTCTTGTACTTTTATCTATATTATGACTGAGTCTTCACTTTTGCTGTTAAAATGCCCGGTCGAAGCAATAGCCAGTCAAAATGCAGACAAGCTTTCCGAGGTCCCGAAGTCAGGGGTATTCATTCGACACAAGCTTCTTTCGGCACGCGCCATGGGTGGAGCCCTGGCCGCGGAAGTCGATACTCGGTAGGCCACGCTGAATTGGCGTCAACATAACAGCATCACGACACGTCAGCAGGATAGCACGGAGCTGCTAGAATGAGAGAAGTACAGGTGCTACACATATCGATAAGGTGCTTCAAATGAGGGGTAGCGGGCATTCATCAGACGACAAGACAAGCGTGCGCAGCCTGACGGAACATGCCAGCATTAACAACCTACTAATCAATACCCACCACATGTCGATGGAAAGTTTTCTAGCAAGCTTATACGGGATGTGCTCTCTAGGCCTAGTGGCTCAAGATTCTACTCTTCTGCTAGATAGTGTCGAAATACTAACCGCTAGTCCAAAAACGATATATCGCTTTTAGTTAGCCAGGCGACATAGAGATACGTGCCCTAACAGATAGTGTAGCAGTCTGGCAGAGCTTCGCTTCTAGAAAGGCACCTAGTTGTAGGGAAATTCAGTATGAGTTGTGGTAAGATCAATGGTGGGTTGTTAGAAAGGAGACAGGGCAAAGGGGGTGGTGGATGAATATATATTCGGCGCTGTGCACTGTCGGCGCATTCGCAGGTAGGTGTAAAAACTAAGCTCCTTGTAGGCTCAAGGCAACCTCACGCCTGATTAAGGCAAAATGGAAGAAAATATCTTTCCTAACATACATATACTAGCTACTAAAAACAAAAAAAAAATAAATGAAAACATACAACAGAAAGGATTCGCTGGTGGTCACCCACCCAACTACTAACCTCCCGGCGTGTGGCTTAAGTACGGCTGAGCGGACGGGAAGCCCTGTTTTCCACACCCTATGGTCGTATGTGCTCATTGTCCTAATTTCACTGCCTAAGTAAGCGGTGTCGTTCAATTGTTAGGCTAAACATATGACTACCAGGGCCGAACAACGAGTTAGGATTTTTATGTTGCCTTTTCTCATATAGACGTACACACTAAGAACGTTTTCAGTGACCCAATTGCTATCATGAATCTGGAAGACCAAGAGTGACTCTTCTATAGACAATAATATGTCTGCCTCTTGTGCACTGTCTCATTTCCTTCAGATGATAGTCGATATGTCGGTCACGCCATCAATACAGGCATCGGGGCTCTCTCTGTTTTGTAATGCTCAAGGCACAAAGAAGATCACAGATTCCAGTAACCAGTGGCAACAGGCTTTTCTGTGATGCCTTGACATACAGGAGGTCACGAACTCGAAGAAGAATAGACCTGGTGGCACCCAGCGGCATACCACCATAGAAAGTGGAAGCCGAGGTCACGCTTCCCAACATGGGAGTTCCAGACCCCAAAATTATCCATCTCTGTATTACAGGGGAGTCTGGTCCGTCAATTTGGAAATTGCCTCCCGACCCTAGACCACTAGAGAGGTTGCTCGAAGAGGGCATTTGGGCCATAGTCCCATATATACATAGACACAGACTAGCTTGGTAAGCTCCGACCGCAAAGAACTCTGTGAAGCTCTGGGCATTGAGATGGTGTAGATACCGAATAAATTGGCTTGCATGCCATACTGCCTTCCGTGCCTGACTGCTTTGGCACCATCGTTCCAAGTGTGGCAATACAGCTTCGGCTTCTTCGGGTCCTTCGCGGCCAGCAATTATTTCGATTTGCTCAAAAGGTGTCAGAGAATGCATGGAGATCAATTCGGCTGTTAATTGGCTGCTGTGAAGATCACCTGGCTGGCTGTCGTCGTGGAGTATGCGGATGCTGTTCAGGAGCTGAGCTACCCGGTTTTGGAAGCTCTCATCTGCAAGGATGAATACTCCAGGTGTATCCAAGATTCCTGGAAGCAAAAGTCCTTTCGACTGGAGGTGATCTTTGACCATGGAGCCGACGGCATGAAGGACAATCAAGCGTGCTAAATTGGAATCGTAAAGTGGTGAAATGGTCTGCAGGAGAGACGGGTTGGCGAGATACTCCCGAAGGCCCGCCTGTTGACATGTCTTCTCGAAACTCTGCATCTGGATATATGTTCTGAGCCATTGCGCTGCGGTCTTTGCTGCCCAAAGTTTCCCGCTTTGGGGAAAGGAAAGACAGAGCTCGGCGTAGGAGACAGGAGTTCTACTCCCAGTTACCAAGGACTCTTGCGAGCAATGAATATGCATGTGGAACACCAATCTAGCCGGTATATCCACACGTTAGTCTGACTGGACACTATGACATGATAGTGAGAACTCGCCTTTTCCAGGATTCCTGCTCAACCCAATGATGCCATTTGCTCTCGAGTACATCGTCAGTGTCTGCCGTATCTGGTACGACACCACTATAGGTCGAAGCACGGTAACGACGGCCACTTCGGAGCATCTCCATGCGCGTTAGAAGATATACAGTAGAATACCTGGGCTCATATGCTCACGGTGACTGCCGATCCTACAATAGCCGCGGCAATTTCCATCCTTCGTTTATTGCCACTCCATAGCCCTGTTTGGACATACAGAGCAAGCGCCTGGATTTGCTGCAAGCAGCGGGTTTGTGCTATTCGTTTCTCGAACTATCGGCCTTGGTTATTCCCCCTATGCATGAGAAGCTGAAAGCTGCCGGTCTTACAATCTGGAATAAATATGGATGGAGGACACCGTGTAGGGCAGTTCCGAACCGGCGAACAGCCGCACTAGACGATCTCATAGCTGCCGACGTGATACAAGCGCCCAGGAGTTCTGTCGGCATCTCACTCGAGCGAAGAGTCGGAACGTGAATCCAGCTGTCATCGTCAGTTGCATGAGTCGCGTAAAAGCGATGTAGGAGCCGATCAAGCACATTCGCTGCTGGAAAGGCGGAGACCACTTTGATCATATTCGCTGGCTCACAGGTGTGCAGTATCATGGCCAAGATCCGATCGCGTGTATCGGACGAGACTGTATCGTCAGATATGCGAGCGGAAGGGTATGCTAGGTGATCTTCTATACAGCTGGATTCTGGATCGAGAAACAGATTGCCTTCCTCGGCAGCACGGTGATAGTCTGAGTCTGGATCCCATCGCCCTACTGTTTTTTCAAAGGCCTCTAGCACCTTCGGGGGATCACTGTGGCCTTTGAATGTGTGGGGGAAGGGAACATCGGATGTAAAAGACGATAAATTTAGATCTGCCGCTCCGACAATATGGGAAGCCATGTCAAGAATATTAGACGAATTCTGTAGAATCTGTCTTTGCTGTGGTGAGCCCTCGACCATAAGTTCTCCTAGATCGTCTATGCCATCAAGGCTGCCCATCGCTAACTCAATGATTAGAGGGCATCTCAAAAGACAAGCTGTACTCCCAGAGAGCGAATATTGATCGTACCTGAGTCGGACCCCGCCCTAGGCAAGTCTGGCGTTATATTGGCATCCGGTGCCCGAATAGGAGTCTGATGTGAAACGCCGGAATGTGCGGTATGATCTGCTTGGGGGTTAACGGCATTCCCAGGAACTTGGGTTTCATCTTCTGCTAGAGGCCAGGGTCGAACACAAGACATCTGTCGCTGGTGGCATCGCTGGCAAATCTCGTTATTATCGCATCGAGCTTTGGCAGTTGCACAGGCCTCACAGGCTTGTGAAGCACGCGGGCCCCGACGGCGGACTCTGGGTGATCTGTTCATTCTAGTCCTGGAGACAGATTCTGAAGAGTGGAACATTAGAGCTGGACAATTGCTGGGGGAGTGGGGTCGGAAGTAGTACTATCACTTATTATCTTTCCAGGACAGTCCGGGGAAAGCTTCAAATTGGGTAAGATTGCGGGGTTCTGCATGGCGGTACGTGGCCTTCACGAAAAACACATTTTAGTGTTGGCCACCACGCTAGCGCACGGCTTGATCGCCCAGGAAGGATATACTGAATACGTAGTTGCTCGAGTGTGTCCGCCGGAGGAGTCATTAACCGTCATCCAAGCACCTGTCACACGTAATATTAGGCCCAGAACAGAGATGTCACAACCAATTGTGATTGGTATTGTCGATTAACTTAGTGAACCTCCCTCTGTAATGACATAATTCACTACAGGTGGAGGCCTTGAAAATGTGACAACAATCTTCTCGATAAGTCAATGAGATGAACCATGCACTCTTGCCCCTCATCGGATATGTGGGGATGGGAACGACTACTTCCCGGTAATAGACTAGCTGCTGGGCTACTGTACGCTACTGACCCGGCGGCAGTAGCGTTTCCGTTCATATATTTTCGATAAACGTGCAGCACAAATGAATTTGACTGAATATATATATGTGTGTGTTGCACATGCTCGTAGATAACTATTTCTTCCATCGCCGCTCCCCCCCCTCACTGGGACAAGACACGTAGTACGTTGCCAATATTTGCATCCGTTCAGGCACTAGTGAATTTATCATCTATCAACACATGAGGGTTCCAACGGTTTTCATACAAACTAGGCTGGCGAGACAGTTCCTCCCCCAGTGAGATTAAAAGTCCGTCTTGCCAGCGCCTTGTTTGCGGGAGCATCAGCGTCATATGTGACGGAGAAACCGTTGCTGTTGACATTCCCAAAGGACATGTCTGTGTTGGTAAAGTTCTTTAGCGCAGTATCCCCTGTAAGATTCCAACTGCTTGTCTTATCGAGGTACACGGCCAGCTCCGCTTCTCCATATCCGACGTAGGCTCGCCCTCTCCAATGCGAGTGTCGTTCAAGGGAGAATCCCAGTGTGCTCCCATTGTATGCAACTAGATCGCCTTCCAGGGTACTCTCTTCGACGTAAATGCGACTATCAGCGGTAGCGACTACATCCTCGGAAGTTGCATAGTCAGAGTAGAAGTTAAAAGCCTCAGTGATCGTTGAGAAATTAGCCACGGCAAGTATTCCTGACTCGGTGATAATCTGACTGTTGCGGATGTAGCTGTCGGCATAGACCGTTCCGTACCAGAGTCCCGGTGCATCGCCTAGAACCTTCAATCTCGTGTTCTCCAGAGTAAACTGAAATGGATATGCCTGGGTATCCTTGGAGATGCTAAATATGACTGCCCCACCCAAAAGTCCAGCAGTGAGGTCGCAGTCCGTAGCAACGGCATGGCCTTCACCAATGGTAAAGAAGGCGGGCGACTGCTCGGCATACCCGACTACATTGGTTAGGTTCGCATGTTTGACTGCGAAGACAATAGCCGATCCAATTCCGGTAGTATGAGCGATCGAGTCCTCTACATAGAGGTATCCAGCTGGAGTATCCCCGGAAAACGAAGAGCAGCGGTTCCCACCACTAAAATGGTGCACATTTCTCGCCCGGATTGTTCCATTGCCGGCAGCATACAACCCATGCGCCGTTGGCCCCGAACTATACAGCCAGGCGTTATCAATATACGCCACGGAGTCGGTGCCGTAGGCGTAAACATTTGCCGCACCATTGTGTGTTGTGATGTTCACGTCCGTCAAACGCAGCTGGCTGTTGTTTGCGACGAGCACGGCTGAGTTTACGCCATAAAAGCTGGCCTGGATGAGGTTGCTGGAATACCCAAATTTCACAACCTCCGTATGGTCGACATACACATTGGCGTGCTCTGTCGCGACCAGGACGCTTGTGTCGTTGCCGCTGACAGCCAGCGTAGTATGGTTAAATCGCTTTTCCTGCCCACGCACCATGTAGGGGCCAACTTGGGCAATTCTTTGCACTGCCTCGGTGCTTACGTTGTAATCGGCAAGAATGGCGTTGTCAGATTCCCATTGGTACGCAGGTATAATGTCCCCAGGGTCTCTGATGGTGATTGCGGCCATGGCCGCCCCGATGAAGTGGATAACCGAGTAGGGTTTCATCTTGATGGGGATATGTCTGGATGGATAGAAGTAGGCCTGATGTAGAAACCTTCGCACAAGCGACAGTGTCTTTACTTCGGATGATGATTTATTTAAGTTGTGGCTCAGTTTTGAAATGTGGGTTACATAGTTGATCCGCCGTAGCGCTCTCCCGGCATGCCGGTGCTCGTTCGGAGAGACTAAAAAGGTTCTGATCGAGATGATCGGCTCCACTTTAAGTGAGGATCTCAAATATTTGAGGTCGAGGCCCAAACTAGTTTTCTATACTAATCGTTTCTGACCTGATAATCATCTATATGTAGGCCCCTTTTTCGTGATCCAGAACACCCAACACCAAGGCCATTTGTCATCATGCTTAACAAGTGGCCTTTCGTGTTCAAAGGGTGCAATTATCTGAATAGTACATTGGTCTACAACGACATGCACATAAAACGTCCGAATTTCATGCAAAGAATTATCTCGGCCACTATAACGAACACCTAGTCAATGTTTGATTATATGACTAATTCTAGTCTAAAAGCCAGGCGTAGATTCATGATCTACCTGAAATACATTTCCACGAAGGACGCGACTCGACTCTTTCCCACCAAGCCCGCAAGTACTTTCTTGACTCTAGCTCAGCCCACAATCCAAGTCCATCCATGAAAGCAGTCCACGGCATATGATATACATCCACCAGGGAGAATGTCTAGTCAATATTATTAGCGGCTTCATGATGCGCTTATATGGTTATCATCATACCGTTCCTCCCAGGTAATCCTGTTTTTCCAAGATACCTTCGTAGTAATCGAGACACTGCCGTATCTGATCCTTGTAAAGAGACACTAAACTGGCGTCGGGCTCGCCGTGGCCCATCGTGCTATTCACTCTGAATTAAAACTATTGTTTCAAGCAAACGGACTCAACCAACCTTTTGAATAAACTCTCATAGGCCAACTGCTTCATCGGTGGATCAAAGTACGAGTACTCAACACTTGCCGCCTGTTGGAACTCGGCAATCTGTACAGGGTTAGACGGCGGTATCAGATGTCCACCGTGTTTGACCGCGAGATAATGACAGATAGCGCGTGATTCGAAGATCTTGACGTCTGTGTCTTGGTATGCTGGGATGTATCCGAACGGGTTGTGCTCAGATAGATACGAGGGGCCCTTTTGGTAATCAAAATTTTTTCAGGAATCTGGTAGAATGGTTCAAAGACGTACCTTGTGCTCACCGGCACGCATGTTTATTGGGATGAGTTCATGGTCGATTCCTAACTCCTCCAGGACTATGAGAACCCGCTGGGTGCATGTCGAGGATACTGATCCGTAGATCTTGGGAGTTAGAGGCATCTTGCACGGGAAGGCTAATGTTTCGTTTGATAAAAATTGGCCAGGACGATTGAAAGTTCCCGTAATCCATCGTGCTGAAGGACATGTAGTTTTCCCTTCGGCTGCCTGCTTTGCTCGGCTCCACAATCACCGGCATTCCGGAAGTCGACGCCATCCCGGCCGCGATGAACACCATCTTCTCAGCCATATCGAGCGCCATTGCTCTCTCGGAGTTCCCGTTCCGGCTCCACGGACATGGAGCCAAATTCGTGTTGCTTGAACAACCAACTACAATCAAGCCGCAAATATATACCCTCGGTCAAGGTATCAACATTCACGGATTTCGATACAAGGTTGCACAAACACTGACAATGAATCCTAAATTCACCCAAACTGATGAAACAGTCCTACGGGGACCACGAAGAACAGAGTTCGACTTTTCCGATTTTAACCATTCAGGAATTCCCCTAGAAGAGGAAGAATGGCCAGTAATTATAATTGGATCAAGTATGATAGGAATGGCACTAGGACTTTTACTGGGATATTGGGGGTATGCCTCCTCCTTCCATGGAACTGTCTTCTTTCTTCTACTATCTATCTAACTCGCTCAAAGTATAGAATCGGTGGCCTTCGACCGACACCCTTCAACGGCCACGCACCCTCGCGCGGCCCTCTTCCTCCTCCGTACAATGGAAATCTTCCGACAACTTGGACTGGAAGAGGACATGCTTCGCGCCAGCAAATCTAATTTTGATCTGGATGCAGGGATGCTTCTGGTGGAGCGGTTGATTGGCGGGAAGGTCATCGCCAAAATGCAGGAGGCAGATCCGGAACAGACAGCCAAGATCACGCCTTGCAAGCGAGTATGGCTAACGCAGAACATGTTCGAGCCTTTACTCCGGAGAGAAGCCCATAGATTCGGCGCGAAACAAGTTTTCTCGACTAGGGTCGTGCATTACGATGAGCATGACGACAGTGTGATTGTGGTTGTGCAGAACCTCACCACAGGGAAATATTCCAAGTACAAGACTCAGTACTTGGTCGCTTGTGATGGAAATCGTAGCCCGACACGTCGCAAGGAAGGCATCGAGTGGATAGGGCCAGGAACATTCGGCAACAATATCTCTATCAACTTCAGGGCAGATCTAACTCCTTACTTGGGTTCCCG